CAGACTAGTGAACAAGTGGGTCTATGCATAGTTGCAATATTCTAACTAATCACTGTGACAGACTGGATCGTCTGGAAAGTTAGGAGAAAATAAGAATTATTTCCTGAGTCACTTGCCAAGAGAGCATTAAATTTCCAAAAGTAGAGCAGTGTGTTTTTTTGGACTTCATGTATGTAGAAAAACCACATCCCATATTTTCAAATAAGCTATAGAGAAGTGAAAAATACTATTTTTAATAAATTACATATCCAGTAAGAATACCAAGGATACTCTGGAAGTACTAAATGTGTATATAAGAATGTGAAGTATGTTTGTCCATTATGATTTCATGAAGAAGGGATTTCAGGGGAGCTCTTTCGAGAGTAGTTTAGAAGAATTTCAGCTCAGAATGTGAGATTTTTCTGTTATGGGAAGTTGAAAAAAGAACTCGTTTGGGGCATTGAGTTGATGTTTTTTATCAGCATGCATATATGTTCTGTTTAAATGCATATATGAGTGTGTTTACTTGCAGGGGAAGGGGGTAGGAAATTATGATGTTTCAGGCTGGCAGAATCAAGTGGAAAAATTGAGAAGATAGGTCTTTTGTAGGGTTTGGTGAGAGCATAGTTTTCTTTTTGTCACTGGCAGAGAGTGGTTCGCATAAGGGTTTGAAAGCATCCTACTGTGGGTTAGGTATGTTTATACAACAGTTGAATTAATGTTTTTAGTAGTTTAATATTAAACTGACACAGTGTATTCAGTATTCTTTAAATAAAATATAATGTAGTTCCAATAATTGAGGAAGAAAGAGTTTTTGGTGAAGAGCTTTGACATTTGAATGCTATCATTTCAGTTCATCACAAGCATTAGGTGATAGCATTATCATCACAAATATCTGGGGACAGTTCTTGGGCTCTCAAACTTGAGGCTAGTCTGTGCTCTGCACAAAGCAGCAGCAGTAGAATGAGGAGAGGAACAGGGTGAGCTCAGAGCTGCTTTATGATCTACACAGAATGGCAACATCTTCTGCCTTTGTATCTTTTATCTGGTCCTTGAGGATGGGAGGTGGAGGTATACACCGTCACATGCTTAGCGTTCTTGCCAGAGGCTCTCTGGAAAGACCCCCATAGGTTTGACGGTCTGCACTTTGCCTTTGTCGAAAACCAGCTTTTAATAAAAGATATAGGTGGTAAGTGTGAGCATTAGCTGGTATTTTGGGGTTTTAACTTATTTGTGTAAGTCTTCTTAAAGTAGAAAATAATCCTTTTGATCAGCTGTTTAGGTTGGTTGAATTGCAGTCTGCTATGCAGTGCACTGAATTAGTGAACTGACTTTCATAATTCTTTGATTACCTCAAGTCAATAAAGCTTATGATCACCTTTATTTTTCGTGTAGAACAATACACGTTGGTGAAATAAGATTCTCCTTTGGTTTTGAACTAGGATTTATTTAAGTATAAACTGTGAGATGAGACAATTCTGATTAGGAATTCAGAATAAACAAGTCTTAAGCGACAGTTGTTTCATAACACTACGTTTGTCAAGACCTTGGTGGTATCTTCTTACATTTATTTTTTGGAACAACTCTAATAATATTGATCAAAGTTTAAGATATGCTTACCTTTGAAGCTGAGTAAGTAAGTAGGAGTGTAAATACATATGTCTCTCTCACTAAAAGAAACTGAAAAATTACTCTCTCTTCATGCCTGTATATAAATGAGATCAAGTAGTTAGCAGTATTGAGGAACTTCTTCCTAGCAGAGTTTTGAACTTGCATACGAAAGGATGGTATTTAGAAGACATCTCTCCTTTATTTCAAGTGAAATGTTTGTTAAATTTCTCTTTATCAATTTACTTATAATTCTTGGTGGCATTTTTAGTTGTCTTTTTTATCTGTAGTGAAGAATCTCATCCAGTCCGCGCAGTTTTTGTGCTATATGAGCATTCAGAAAGAGAAATGTTTGCTCTTCAAGTTGACATCTGACATATGCAAATTATTCTGTATCAATATACTTGTTATTTAATACTCGCTCATAGGATATCTATAAACCACATCTATCATCCATGTACGTTGCCAACACCAGCATAAAATAATAATCTCAACCTTAAATTAACTGCACTTCTCCTGATGGTTAGTAAACATTGTGGAAGTTAGGTTTTAGGAAGCCTGTTTGATTTTAAAAAGAAAAAAAACCCCACAATTAATGCCCTCACACACACACACACGTTACAATTGTTTTGCTAATCTGCAACACTTATACAAACGAGCTTTTTCCCCCCTGGTATACCTTAGATCATTAATATTATCACAAAACAGGTTTATCAAAGTCTTCATAGGCTTTAAACAGTCTGATCAATTTGTTGCTTTAGAAGGATCCTCTTTAAAGTTGTATTTCTGTGTCCTTTAAATGAAGTGCAAAGAACTAAGTTTCTGCACTGTGAAAATTCTGTATGGAACTGGTAACAGTTTGCTTCAAGATAGTCCTGCAGGAGTGATAAATTTATTTCTATTTATAATGCACAATAATTAGGTAGGTCTTTTAACTCTTGCCTTAGTCAATGGGAACTGTATACCTCACTTCCCGAGATCGTATCTCCCTCCTCCCAGTTTCCTGTGCAAGTCTTTCCCAATCTTAATTAATAAAATCATTAGAAAATATACATGCAGCAACCAAATGCTTCATAAAGCTTTTACTGTGTACGCGTATTTAAAATATGTATCTATATACAGATTATGGTATGGTAGGGAGCTTTAGAGCTAGGGAGTGGAGTAGAGGAGGTGTCAGCCTCCTTCCGCTCCTACACCGGGAGTCTGCGTAGACGTTTGCTCTGCATTGTTACCTGAAGGCACCCCTCTCTTCCACTGTTAAAGGCACCTTGCTGGCTAGGTTAGATGCTGAGGCTAGGTGCTGTGAATTTTTTTTTCTTTCCTTTCAAATAATTAACAAAAAAAAAGCATATATAAACACATACCCTAATGTGAACCTAACGCCTGACCTAATGAATACTGTTAGATGAAAGCACTAAACAGGATTATATTTATTTTGGCGGAAGTTCAACCATGTGCTTCATTGCTTTCTAGAATGGGCCCCTTTGTGCTTTCTGGCTTGAAAGCTATGTAGGTTTCAGCTGTAAATATGACACTTGTTAGTAGTCTCCTTTTGGGGAGAGTAATAGTTTTTGTGCAGTCATATGCATGTGGGTCCATTGTATACCAACGTTAGACTCAACTGAAGTGTTGGGAAGATATCTTTCCTTCCCTCCCAAGGAGCCAAATTCTCTTTATTATTACTAATTGCCCTTGTTAGTACATACTTTTAAAAGAAGCAAGGTTTTTCTGAAAAGCTACTGCGGTTTAAGAAAAAAAAAAAAAGTAAAACACTATTGTCCCCTTCTTCACTATTGCAGTCATCAGATGCCTGATTGCAGAAATGCCTCTGAGTGGCAGCATAGCATGCTTGGCACAGTTTGAGTTGAGTGCTATTCATCTCACTGCAGTCTTGAACATCCCATACCTGAGGAACTGCTTGTAGTGCTTAATCAAAGATATCCTTTGCTTGGTTTGCACCTTTTTGCTGTGCATCTGTGGAAGAAAAGCAGTGTGTCATTCTTCTAGTTACCATTTACCCAAATGGCTCAGATGAAATAGGTGTTTCACTTCTTTTCTTCAGGAGAGATTTCCTCCAGGAGTATGTTCTTTCTATTTTTGTCTACTGGACTTAGGAAATTTAGAAAGTTATTTCCAGAGCTTAGGTCTGTGATTATACTCGGCGTGGACACAATTTCATAATACATCTTCTGTCCCAGAAGCATGGTTGTCAGTATAGATTATGGTTTAAAGCTGCTGAGGTGTTTTGAGATTGAAACGCAAGACATCCAGGCATTATCTATCATAGATCTAACTGAACTTAGAGGCCACTTGTTTATTTAGCTTCCTGTGTAGTCAGTATTGTCCTCGTGAGGGAGCCATGTTTTTTGCCTTGAAGTAACTTTTAAAAATAAACTTAGTCTTGCACCTGACAGTAATGCTTTAGTCATGCATAGCTGTAAGCTGTTGTGTAAAGAAAGCTATGAGGGGAAAAAAAATTTTTTCAAGGAAAACTTGTAACGTGTTGTGATTCAACTGTTCACTGTGCAAGAGCAGCTTAATATAAGATCAGAGAAATGCTGCTTTTGTGAGACTTACCTCCCTGTGGTGAGTGTTTTGATGGAAGCTGTGATGCTACTCAGTTTGCTTGATGAATTTTTACTAAAGCTAATGAGGGAATGGAAACAAAGGCCTTACAGCAACAGTTAACCATATCTTCTGATAATTCTGACAGATTGTGCAATTATGTGATTACAAACGGATTTTTAAATGCCAAAAAATGCCTTTTTTAAAAGAGTTAAATGTTAAGTCTGAGGAGTGTTGGAAATATCTGCTTTCAAAAATGAGCCTTCAGGCACTGTAATGAACTTGCTGTTAGTCTTCTGTGCAATATCTTTTTCCCTTCTGGGTGCTTTAAGAGTATACTGTATGTCTTATTTTGTTTTGATCAGTATGTTTTAAGAGTGTGTATATTGGCTAATGATGGATCTTTTTCTGTACAGCATGGTGGAAGATGTTTTAAAATTTTGCACTTTTCTAGGATTTGCAAGTTTGTAACCTGACAATTTTTATCATGCACACTTTTGTACATAATTAGCATTGTATATATTTAACATGAGTCTGAAGCAAATAAAGGTAATTGAATGCATAACTTCTCACTTTATTAATAGTGCAAAAATTAAACTAATAGTGTGGGAGTACACTAAACAAACAATTCTTTCATTTAGCAGGTACAGCTAGGCAGCAGGAACAGCTGACTTGGTGTCCTGTCTTAATTTTTTCAAGTAACTTTTTTTGGTGAGGAAGGAATCAAAGTGGATACTTGAATGTACAGACCCTTTCAGACTAATAGTAGCTATGATTATGTAAGTATTGCAATAAAAATTGTCTTTTTGCTGGGAAGGAGGGAATTAGGGTAGGGAAAAGAGCCCACCAATACATATTTATCTACATTTATAAAGTTCTCCACCCACCCTGGGACTAGAAGCATCTTGTTTCTTCCTCCTCATTATCTCCCATATAGTAACTTTTGCTGCAGAATACGCAAGGCTACAGATTCTGGAGATTACTGTCAATCAAGAGGAAACTGAAATCTGTTCCGGGCTCGTGTTCAGTTGGTTTCTTACCCCTGTAAACAAGACAAACCATGCAGTGAGTTTCAACAGGAGCTAGGACTACTGGGCTTCCATCTGTCACTAGAGATAGAACAAGGCATCCTTGTTCATAACAAGCAAGAGTTTTGACTCCCTTCCTTGCCTGCATCACAAGACATACATATTAGATTTCTTGTTAATGTTCCTATGACTAAAGACATGAGTTCCTTTGTTCTAGAGTTCAGCGCGTTAGGGCCAAACTTCCAGTCTCATGGCCTTCAGTAACAGACCTGACTACTGGGACTCCTTCTGTGAACGGTAACTATAGTTCAGAAACATCAGTGAATGTAATGCCATAGCACTGACTGGGTAAGTTAGACATCTTTTGGAGTGCTGTCATACTGCCTGCTCCTTTGGAGCATAAAGCGATATTCCTGTTTTCCCCAGAGAAAAGGAAGCAAGGGATTAAGTAACTTCTGAGGGGATCACAGGCAGCATGTGCCAGGAGTCTAATAGAAGTCAGTCGTCTTTTCTGTCTGAAGGAGGATATCCATTCAAATTCAAATGAAGCATTTACCTCAAAAACAGACGTGCTCCTGTCACTCCTTGCAAGGTGGCTTTGTCTCCTTCCACTAGCAGCATTGCACCTTCCCGCAAGCCCTAGTGTAGGTGGAAGCATTTAATGTTATTTTCAAGCTACTTGAAAGGCTGGAATGCTCATCACAAGCAGGCCAATCTTGGTGCAGCTCGCCACGACTACAAATAAGACTTTCTCACTAACCTATTTCTAACAAAGATGCCAAGACAAAATTAGGTGACTTATCCTGTTTTAGAAGCTAGTTTTCTTGTTTATTTTATTTTTTGCTTTTAAAGAAGGAGAAACTATTAAGGAGAAAAGGAAAATGTGGGTTTTCCACAATTACTTCCACTACCAGCATTCCTAGATCCAGTTTGGGCCAAGCAACAGCCAGCTGGGTTTTTTAGCACAGAAACTTTATACTCCAAGCTGAAGCACAGGGACAGGAAACCCAGAGGTCCCACTTCCCTGTACTACTGAATGAGCAAATTCAGAAACCTACAGAGATTAAAACAAAATGTAAAGTTAAGACAATCTGCAAAAAGATTAAGGGGAGGTGTCTTATTATCTGCATGCACACCACCTATGACAGGACTTCAGGTGTCTAATAGGCACTTTTATTTGTTCTAACCCATTTTCTGCATGTGAGCCAAATCCAAGGTTGAAGCTTGTAGCAAGAACATACCACGGTTCTGTAAGGCTTGTCAGGCAGGGGAACCCACACTGAAAGCTACCAAGAAGGTATTTAAAATGTTTACCATGCTACAGCTATGAGCTTCCTGACTGGGAACTACAACTTACCAGAACTGGAGGGGTGTTTGGTTCTTCATGATATTGACGAATTCTTTCCTCTCTTGTCTCCTGCAATAATGAGTGTAGATTTAGCTGCCTAGGCAGTAAGATAGGACTTGGAGCTATCCAAGTAGCATGACACCGAGCCAATTTCATAACATTAAACAAAGCAGGCACTTCCTCTCAAGCAGAATGCTTTCATTAGACCAATGTATTGAAGGAAGTGGCAGGTTTGACTTTAATAGACATGCATTTTACCCTTCATCACTAGCAGCAATTGCTGTAGGTTGATCAAACGGAACTCACACAATCCCAACCCTGAAAAGCCCTAAAACTTCCTTCCACTCAATTCATCCACTTCTTTTTTTAAAAAAAAAATAAAAATAAATGCTATCTATATGCTTGCCCTCAGAACAAGAGCACTGAGGAAGGTGGTGGAAGCAAATGCTTGAGATGCCACCTTCATGAAAGAGGGTAGTGAACCATGGATTTCCACTGATTAAATATCTGCTTGTTTGTCCTCAAGTAGGTATTACACTGAGCTCTGCCATGTTTCCTGAGGGTTTGCTGCTGAACTGAGCAACAGTAGTTAAAGAAATCAAACCAGAAGGATTTGTTGGTAAGGAAACACAGGAACACAGCAGGGACTTCGTACACCACAGAGCTTCCAGCCTCTTCTCAGAGAAATAGCGAAAGAGTTATTTATAGGGAAAAGACTGCCTGCTTATCTAGTGACAAGCTGGTTAAATGAGTACCTACAACTTCATCTAAATTCTAGAAGCACACTCTGATCCTCTATCTCTTTGGTGTCCCCTCATTCTTAATACTTCCTCTATCCATGAAGAAATTTTGATTACAAGGAGAAAGTATTTGGGCTGTTAAGAGATGCACCACAGAAGCCGTTCCCTGAGGAATCAGCTCCTTCATACAGTGGAGATGTCAGTCTTTGTGCTTGATGGTTGAAGTGGTTTTCATTCAGCTCTACTAGTGCGTGTGCTTGCTCAGTACTGGGCATTACAGGGTGTGCTCTCTGCAGGGACACTACTACAGGTATTTTATTACACAACAGGTTTGCATGCACTCTCAAGATCTCCCTGTTGTGATGGTTCCTTCAGACCTTTAGATATATAAGCCTCTTAATATATGTTTAAGTTAGGTCTTCTCAAGCAGCAGGCAAGACAGACTATGGCAGGACTTTCCAGAAACACAGTGAATTGCATCCTAACATTTCCAGTTTATCTCTCTCTTCCCGCCCTGCCCAGATCCATGCCAGGTATGAAGCAACAGTATTTCAGACATTGCAAAGCTTGTTTGTAAAAAAACACTTTGTTTCACCTCAGCAATACTTTTGCCAACTCTTCTTCCCACGCAAAGAAAAGCTTTAGGAGCCAAACGGTGCTGTCTCACTGTCATTTCCAACTGTTAGATGTTGGTTCTATAGCTTTGTAAGGCCTTGCAAATACATGCTATCGTTACACCTCTGCACCCTGGTTACTGTGTTAGCTCTGGCATGCTTTACTTACACCCATGTGAGTGCTTTTAACATCTGGGTCCAGGTAGTGGGGATTAATATTAAAAGGAACTAAACCTAGGGCCTGTAGGGAAGGTGGGTAAACAATTGGCATGTCATTGGTAGTATTGATGCTGATGGTGGCAACGTTAGTTCCTGCGCTGGATCCCAGGTAAGGAATCCCATCCTGGAAGACAAAAGCAATGATTAGTGCATTTTCTATCAGTCTCGGAGACTTAGCAGTTAGATCAGGCTTAGTTCTTCTAGCTCATCTCACTGCTAACTTTACAGGTGAAAAGCAGAAGAACGAGAATTCAGGTTTTGAGGTGGGCAACAGTTTGTGTATGTCGTGCTTGTCAGAGAACTAGCTGTTGAACATCCTGTACTCAGAACTCTGTGTCCCTATCACAAGAGAGAACTTAACGGGTTGTCAGTGCATATATATATGGGACTGAACTATTAAGAAAGCAGAGAATTATCTATGTTGTAGTGAAAGGAAATATCTGAACTAGTGTTCAACTAGCTTCTGAATAGAGTAGAACATCTGAAGCGGAGTACAATGTTGGCACAACATCAGCTTACCAGTACCATGACCAGCCAGTTTAGTGCTAGTTTACGTATTACTACTAGGTACGTAGTACTATGTACTGTGCTGTACATGGAAAGATTCCACACAAACATGCGAATAATGCTGAACAATTTGTAAAACCAAATAGGTATCTAGGCCTTACTGGGACTCGAAATGTTTTCTGGCTTTTCTGCTCATAACAGGGACAGAATTTCTGTATATTAAGACCACCTAGCTTACTTTTCTTCTTGGCAGCTGGCCATTTCAAACATACTGTACTTGCATAAATCTGCCTGAAGTCATTTGCAGTTCCACATGGCTAGGGGAACACCTTGTTTCTGTTCTCTTCCATGGATGGTGTATCTTTGCTGTGCCTTACAAGATTCACCAGCCAGAATGGTGCTGCTGACTGGAAAGGGCTCAATGGCACTTGTACCTCTCAATTCCAGGTCAAGGAGGTACCCAAGGTAATTAATTACACCATTTTCAATGTCAACAGGACATTGTTTAAAAGGCATGTATGGATCCAACTCTATTGTACGTTGTCTGACAACTGACAACTTGAACACATATATATTTATTAACAAGATACAAAGTGGACATCTCAAGATGAAAAACAGGGTTTCTGAACATAGAATAAATCCTGCACTGCTCTTCTTCACTGGTACTTTGAGGGGCTTACTTCTAATGTGCTACGCAGCATTGTACATTCCAAGGTACTGTAGTCCCACATCTGGGAAACTGCCCTAGAAAGACAGATTGCTGACCTTAGTCTTTTCAGGCTTCAGTGACTAATGACAGCCTTATTCGGTCACAGATTTCAGTTCACCAGGTTGTATGAGATGGTCCAATGTTTGAAGTATGTTAGAAACAAAGTTGTAGAATCAACTTGGATTTATCTGAACAAAAGCTTATGCGTGAGATCCTGCTGTTCAGATTTGGCCTGAGCCCTGTAGTTTTTACCTCAAGAACTCTTTTCCTGATCTCCTGTATCAGACTGTTGTCATAGAGTGCTTTCAGGAGACGGAATGTGTTCCCACCTCCTGCAGAAAGAGAGCCCAGCTTATTTAACATGCTTTCACCACCAGTTTTAATTGAAGCTTTTACAGACTTGTCAGGCTCAATGATTTCTGTGCTCTATTCAGGGTAGTATCCTGCTTTGAGCAGCAGTAAAACCAGAAGCTGCAGAAGAATAGTTATTGGGCAGGCCCCAGGCTCACGTCTCAAGTCCTTGTAACACTGACACTGGCTGTTTGACAGCGGGCACGGTTCTAATACCCAGAGCATGGTATTAAGACTCAGTTTGAGCACAGCAGCCCTGAATCTTCTTAGACTTGTTAAAGTGATGATACAGCTGTGACAATCATGTTTTTAACACCAAAGTACTGTTCAAATGAATAATTTTAATCTTTGTGGAGATGGAGTTCCACTAATAAATCTCTCCTCCTTCCTTCCCCACCACTAAATTTAGGGTCTTTCTGTTCCAAATTAAAGTACTGTTGTCTGTAGTTTCTAATAATTGCTAGGCCCAACGCTTTTCATTGTTGTCCTACCGTGCCAGCTCTGGGCAGGACTAATGCAGTGCCCCATATAAACCCTCATCAGGGAGCAAGACGTAAAACTTACCAATAAATATTGCTTCAGACTTCCTTACAGCTTCCACTGGGTCAGAAGATTCATGAATGCTGTCCAGCCCATAACCTTAAATGAAAAAGTATTTACCTTTGCCACTTCAGTTTGGAGGAAGAACATGGTATGTTCAACACCCCCTGCCCTCCCCTCCCGAGACAAACGTCTCACCAGCCAACCAGGGAAACTTCAGAGAACTCGACAACACAAACCAGAGTATACGTCCTACAATTAGTGCAGGGCTTCTGCATCGAGCTGTACCAAAGCAAATGTTTGCTTTATGGATATGCGAGCTCAGTGTCTAAAAGCAGAACGTTTCACTCAGCAGGTGCAGGCTGAGGCACAAAGTCCTGCTGAGCATTACCAGCTAACTAAAAAATAAGAGATGGGAAAAAGCTGTCAGTCTTCAGCTTGGCTGTGAGTCTGAACAGGATGTGCCATCATTGGTCTAGAATTACTAGTACAAATATCTGATCTGAGGAGTTTTTTGTAATGGTTAAAATGTCTGGCTTTGACAGATTTGCCTCACTGGGGTTCACAGAGTACAGGAAGTGCCAGGAGAGCCAGAAGAACATGGACACTTGATAGCAGCAATTTTTCTGCAAGACAAAGAGCAAAGTCTGCTGCCCGGGGAAGTGAGTACTGATTCTTACTACAGTAAGAAGTCCAAAGTTATCCTGAATGGTGATAGATAATAGGTGGAGGTGTTCCTGTAGGCTACTCTGGAAAGATCTTTACTCAGGGTTGCTGTTCATCATAGCAGTACCTGGCTGGCTGAAGTGCATTGCAGTAATGGTCTTAACACCAGCAGTTGCACGGCTTGAGCAGAGGTTTAAGATGTACGGGAAGAAACGTTCCCCCATGTGATTAAGGAGGATAAAAAGATGCCACTTAGTATTTTGTATTTAGAACAAAAACTTCCTCCCTGAAGCGGCTAGAAGTGTTGCAACAAGACTTCTTCCGGAGGCCTCTGAAGCGCGTACTTCCAGGCAGCAGTGGGCCAGCAGTTCCCCGCGGCTCTCACG